GAATTAGTGTGACCACAGAAAAAAAGGACAAAAAGTTCAAATTAACCATCTGAATAGATGGCGCTATTGTATATTGAATTGAGCCATCTACCCCAAGATATTGGTACTACTGGCCATGAAAGGCGGAAATGTAGGCGCTAGACAGGTTTAAGCGTTAAATGGGTTTTGCGGGCGTTAGAGTGGGCGTGGCAAACTTTTACTTGGCCAATCGATATGTATTGACGAAACAAATACATATCAGTTACTATTTTCATAATAGCTTCAAAACTGTGGGCGATAGAGAGGGCTAGTGGGCGTTAGAGGGGGCGTGGCACCTTTTTGAAATAAACTTGCGCTGCGTAGGAACTCCCAGAATCTGCATGCAAAATGCCAATCTTCTAGCTTTTATAGTTTCCGAGATCTCAGCGTTCATACGGACAGACGGACAGACAGACAGACGGACAGACGGACAGACGGACATGGCTAGATCGACTCGGCTAGTGATCCTGATCAAGAATATATATACTTTATGGGGTCGGAAACGCTTCCTTCTACCTGTTACATACTTTTGCACGAATACAATATACCCTTTTACTCTACGAGTAACGGGTATAAAAATCACATTTACTTTAAAAAAAAGTATTTTTCCAAAAATTAAGAAAGTTTATTTATAAAATTCTGTTTCTAGGTTATTTTTTCCTAGATTCAAGAAAAAATTTTGTGAAATTCAGAAAATGTTTTCAAATTCAGAATGTATTTCATATTATGGCGATTTTTTTAAAAATTTAGGAAAAAACATTTATTGAGTGTATGGTAGCTTAAAATATAGTGGTCCGATCCGGCTCGTTCCGACATATGTATGTACAACCTTCAACAAAAAGAAGACTTTGGGAAATTTCATTGCGATAGCTTTAAAACTGGGAGACTAGTTTGCATAGAAACGGACAGACGGTTAGACGGACATGGCTAGATGGACTCTGCTATTTGTGCTGATCAAGAATATGTATACTTTTTGTGGTCGGAACCGTCTCCGTCTCTCCTTCTTTCCAAATTTTGAATGAAATTATAATACCATCTGCAAGGGTATACAAATTTTGAAATAAATTTATTAGGAACAAAAATCTGCTACAATAATATATTTTTATCATAGATTTTAAATTGTATTGTCTACTTTATTTATTTATCTACCCATTACTCGTAGAGTAAAACGGTATATATTATAGTCGTGCAAAAGTATGTAACAGGTAGAAGGAAGCGTTTACGACCCTACAAAATAGATATATTCTTGATCAGGATCGCTAGCCGAGTCGATCTAGCCATGTCCGTCAGTCTGTCTGTATGAATGACATCTCGGAAACTATAAAAGCTGGAAGATTGGCATTGAGCAAGCAGATTCTAGGGGTTCCTACCAGAGAGCTGCGCCGAGTACGTACGATCATCGCGCCTGAATTTTCGTTTAATCCGGTAAACTTATTAGGCAACAATAATCACGATCGGGACATACCTCAGCTTTCGGGTTTGTTCAACTACTCGACTCGCTTCGTATCGATCAATGATCTGATTTTTAGCTTCGGGTGTAGGTGAACAAAATGATCTTTCCGAAGCGCTCAATCGTTCCGATGTTGTCAGTTGTACATAAATTGATTGTGAAAGGATTATATAATTCTTGTGACCACGAAATAAAATAAAGGGAGAATGCCTTAAAAAATATCGCAAATTATTTTTAAAGAAATAATTTTTATACTGGCCAATAGTTAAAATAATCTATTTAAGCTTGGCACTCTTTTAGAGCTGGCAGCTTTTTTTCAGTACCAGCAGCATTTCTGTCCTGCATTGCCATCTAACGGAAAGTATTGGTATTTGAGATCGTTCGGCCTGAAGATTTTACCCTTTTGTGATCGAATAATATGTACAAGTGCATTTGCAGCTGTTCTGCCGCGGTATTGTTATTTAGTTAGCAAGCACACATACATGAAGTCGATAAAATATTATTGTTTTTAATAATCATACTTTATAAATACTTTTTAGTATGTAAGCATACGGGAGTCAACATCGCTATATTTAATTAATCATCAAATATTTAATACTTCTTTTGTTCGTATTAAACAATAATACTTTTATCACGTTCTTGATGTTTTATGTGTAAAATATCATCATATGAATTGCAATTAGTTGCATATTTGACTTATTAATAATTATTTTGTGGTTGCACCTCAAAGCCCGGAAAATTATAGCCATAACAATAAATGCACAATAAAGTATTTGTGCATACGCGGTTTGATGCCAAAATTGTACAGAACTGCCATAAAATAGCTGTCTAAAATACACGAAGTTTGGGCTTTGCTCATAAGACTGCCTTTGCAGTCAGCTGTTTTATTTCACACAAAAAAGGATATTATGTTAAAGGGAAATCCGCCAATGTTATCAAATCCATTAACACTGGAACAGGCCAGTATATGTCCCTTATGACACCCTCTGGATATTTGATCAATTTTATCTCATATTATTATACCCTTGTAGAGGGTATTATAATTTCAGTCAGATGTTTGCAACGCAGTGAAGGAGACGTTTCCGACCATATAAAGTATATATATTATTGATCAGAACCAATAGCCGAGTCTATCTAGCCATGTCCGTCTGTCTGTCTGTCCGTCTGTCCGTTTCTATGCGAACTAGTCTCTCAGTTTTAAAGCTATCGCGATGAAACTTTCTCGAAAGTCTTCTTTCTATTGCAGGTAGTACATACGTCGGAGCGAGCCGGATCGGACCACTATATCTTAAGGCTTCCATAGGAATATTCAAACAAATATAAGAAAATTCATTGTAACTTTGTAGGAAGTAGGCGGTTTGATTCTTGACTACTTAAAAACAAAATTTAAATAGAAACGATTAATCTGGAATCCCTGGAACTGCACCGAGTGAGCATTACTTTATCTGCAAGGGTATATAAGCTTCGGCTGGCCGAAGGTAGCTTCCTTTCTTGTTTTTTTTTTTTAACTCTAGTAGAGAGGTTATAAGGGCCTTACATGAATATTTTACTTCAGACTTGCTTACACTCTAGTTGAGAAATGGCAATTTAAGACAATTAAGGGAATTTATGATGAGCAACAGTATCCTGGTTAGAGATCGAGGAACATCGATGTCTTGGATATTTTAAAGCAGAACATCGATATTACAATTTTTGTTATACCCTTGCAGAGGGTAATCCCGTTTGGGATTAAGCCTAGTACTGACATCGACGAAAACTGCGAGATAACCATAGGAGTAAGCGAGCTAACGCCTTTAGTCGGGCCTTTCTTCACCGCGGTACTCAGATGAGCTAAGAAAATAGTAAGGAAAGAACAAACAAATACCATAAACATTTTTTGAAAAATTTAAAAATAAATATTTAAAAATGTTTAATAAATTACATAATACAAAAAAATAATAAATAAAATAAATTTAAAATTATTGTTTATTAAATGGACGGTTAAATAAATAATTGTAAGTTTTTAATAGATTAAAAAATGACTTTTTACTTTTTGTCATTCAGAAATTGTCAAAACACTTAAAAGTTAACTTTTAATCATTAAAAATTGTTAACGGACTAGTAAACGATGAGAAAACATGAATTCTATAAGGATCCGATAAGAGTGAGAGAGTAGACCTTCATGCTGCGACGTTTTTCCATAGAAAAAAGCCGAGGCCTTGTTAAAACAAATTCGATATTTTAAAAACTAAACATGGCTCCACCTTTTTGACAAAAACCGATTGAAACTAACAATAGCGCATATGTTAAATTAAAATTTTTTTTTTGTGGTTAAACATTTTTTTCAAACATTTTTTTTAAAGAAGAGTTGGAGAGGAATAAATGCAAAAGACACGAAGTTAACCGGACAACTACAACCGGAGATACAGATTTTCAATGAGAGGGTACTTTTTCAAAATTCACGTTTTTTGGCAAACTAAAAAAAATTCTAAAAAAAAATAATTTTTTTTCGGCCAATTCCTGATACACGTGTTTACTTATTTTCCGAATAGAACACGTAAAAAAAGTTTCAGGCAAATCAAAAATGTGACCCAAAAAACGTGTTCGGTTTGTAAAAAAAACCGCCCATATTCGCAAAAATCCAGATTTTCGCCACTTCTTTTATAAAACCTAACAGATCTCGAAAACCATTAGAAACAAACTTGTAACTTACACTATTTAAAAGACAACAGATGCACCTTTCCGAAAAGCTATTACTCGTTGTGATCGGGCCGCATAATTAACGGGGGTACAACCTGTGAAAGTTCAAAAAAGTTTTATTTTTGACGGGTTTTTGTTATAGCTAGTTTTCATTTAATTTAAAAAAGCAAACACAAATTAATAAATTATTTTGAGTTTTCAGATGTAAATGCCCTTTTGTTGTTAACAAGTTAAGGCCAAATATTTGCAAGTTAAGTGCAAATTCTAGGAGATATGTATTTTTTAGTGGAACAACCCATTTCCAAAATAATGTTTTTCAAGCCAGGTGGCCTGCTTTTGTTAGTTTGGTTTTTGACATATGAACAAAAAAACATCGAGCAATAGCTTTTCGGAAAGGTGCATCTGTTGCCTTTTGAATGTAAGTTTCAAGTTTGTTAATATAATGGTTTTCGAGATCTGTTAGGTTTTATAAAAGAAGTGCGGAAAATCTGGATTTTAGCGAATATCTTCAGAACGGTTCTTTCGAAATTTTTTAAATTTGTTCAGCATGATCAGCAACACAAAACTAATCAAAAAAAAATTGGTCTCTGCGATTAACTCGAAAAAAATTTAAAGTTGTAAACCAGTGCAATCGATATCAATATATAGCTTGACAGATTCGCGTACTTTACTATCCTTCCCGAAGATTAATTCTTTACATGTTTGTGTAACGTTGTTTTGACAGATTAATGTACAATTTTGCAATAAATTCACCAATTTTCAAATGTGGCAATGAAATCAGGCTATTCCTATAAAAAATAACATTTACTAATCGAGATAATTAATTAAAAATTATAATTTTATTTCTCTGCAGGTATTCTGAACTACAGTTTCTAGCTTCCAGGCGTGCAGCAGCCGCAGCTGCCGCGGCAACAGTTTTACCAGTATCCCCTTGCATTAATCATTTACACACAACAGATGTTTCAAGCTCGGTTACAGTTCCATCCATGATTCCAACGGTTGAAGCATCAGATTCACTTAAAACATCACCATCAATCCAACCACCAATAAGTAATGGAAACAGTCTTCTTGCTAATTCTTCTGGTCACCATCAAAATCATCAGCATCAACATGTTCATAGTTTAAATGTTACTGGACAGCCTCATGCACATGACTTTCACCCAGCCTATAGAATCCCCGGATATATGGAACAATTGTATTCTCTTCAACGAAATAGTACAACTGCATCTTTTCATGGTATTACTTAGCTCATACCTCTGTTCAGTAACCTTAATAAATTAAAATTTGTAATCTTCTAGATCCCTATGTCAATTGTGCGTCGGCTTTCCATCTTGCAGGACTAGGACTTGGATCAGGAGATTTTTTGGGTACCAGAGGTATGGGCTCCCTAGGTGACCTCCATCATGCAGCTGTAGCTGCAGCTGCGGCAGGATCCCTTGCAAGTACTGATTTTCACTTTAGCATTGATGGCAACCGGCGATTGAGTAGTCCTCGACCACCAGGCGGAAGTATTCGTGCAAGCATCAGCCGCAAAAGAGCCCTTTCCTCATCGCCATATTCTGATTCGTTTGACATTAATTCGATGATTAGATTTTCACCAAACTCTTTAGCCACAATTATGAATGGCTCTCGAGGAAGCAGCGCGGCTAGTGGTTCTTATGGTCACATTTCAGCTAGTGCCATAAATCCTATGTCTCATGCACATTCAACACTGGCACCACGTCTACAACAGATACAAGCTCATTTGTTGCGCGCAAGCGCAGGACTTTTAAATCCGATGACTTCACAACAAGCAGCTGTTGCCGGGTTTTCTATAAGCCATGCTGTAGGCGCTTCCACCACAAGCATAAATGATGTTCGTGGTAATCTAAACGATTTACCTAGCCAAATAACACCATCTTCAAATGCAAGGCTAGTTAGTGACGAACATAAACAGGTTGCGGCACTTTCGGTAATTTTAAATGGAATTTGAAATTCAACATTTCATTTATTTCTAATTGTTTTTAATATTTATAGCAAAAGAACTTCGATGACGGAAAACAAAGAAATCGACCGCATAAAAATATTGTCACTGAGCAGCCCTCATCAACATCTGGTAGCGTGGCTCAAGTAGAAGCGGACAGTGCCTCATCACATTTGTCTGATCGCTGTTATAACAATATAGGAAAGAATACCAAAAGTATTGCTGGCGATGTAAAAATAAGCAGCCGCTGTGAAGAGTTTCTTAATTGTGGATCAGCATCAACTCCATTAAATGAATATGATTGTGCCAACGCTGATACGACGGATATCAAGGACGAACCCGGAGATTTTATAGAAACGAATTGTCATTGGCGAAGCTGTTGTATTGAGTTTATTACACAAGATGAACTTGTTAAACATATTAATAATGACCACATCCAAACCAATAAGAAAGCATTTGTCTGTCGATGGGAAGATTGTACTCGTGGAGAAAAACCATTCAAAGCACAGTATATGCTAGTTGTGCATATGCGACGTCATACAGGTGAAAAGCCTCACAAATGCACAGTAAGATACTTTTTTAATTTCATAAATTTCATTTTTTTACTTAATTTTATGTGTTTATACATATTATAGTTTGAAGGTTGTTTTAAGGCATACTCACGCTTGGAAAACCTCAAAACTCATTTACGGTCACATACAGGCGAAAAACCATACACCTGCGAATATCCCGGATGTAGTAAAGCGTTTAGTAATGCTAGCGATCGTGCAAAGCACCAAAATCGTACACACAGTAATGAGGTAAGGATAAACCCGTGTTCCAATAATCATCATTTAAAAATACAATTTTTTGTTTAGAAACCCTACATTTGTAAAGCTCCTGGCTGCACGAAACGTTACACCGACCCAAGTTCTTTGCGAAAACATGTTAAGACAGTTCACGGAGCTGAGTTTTATGCAAATAAAAAGCATAAAGGCTTGCCACTCAATGATGCCAATTCTCGGTTGCAAAGAGACGGTGGCCAAGGTCGCCATAACCTTCAAGAGCACAATATTGACTCAAGCCCTTGCAGCGAAGACTTGCATATGGGAAAAATTAGAGGCATGTCTAGTCCCAGCATTAAATCAGAATCTGATGGAAGTTCGCCACATCATCAGTTGGCAAATGGAGTTCGAACTTCAGACTGTTTTTTAACATATTCACCAGATGGTGCCGTCGAGCATTTAACTTTGGAGGACGGCTGGAATTGTGAAGATGACGTAGACGTGGCCGACCTTCCAATTGTCCTGCGTGCTATGGTAAATATTGGCAGCGGAAATTCATCGGCCGCCACTATTGGAGGTGGTGTTGTGGCTAGGCAGCGGTTTAGAAGTCGTCTGCAAACTAAAGGTATAAACTCAAGTACGGTTATGCTGTGCAACATTCCCGAAAGCAATCGCACAATTGGTATTAGTGAGCTTAACCAGCGAATAACAGAACTGAAGATGGAACCTGGTACAACAGGTGACACTACAGTTCCAATGCCCCTAAATACGGGCATAGGAGGATTTGCAGAAGACTTATCGCAAAATCAAGCAAACACAACCATAAATAAGCTTAGCTTTCCCACCGCTTCCGGATCTCTGCAAGGACATTTTCGTCGCGATAGTCAGAACTCCACTGCAAGCACATATTATGGTAGTATGCAAAGTCGTCGTAGTAGTCAATCATCACACGTGTCATCTATATCTACAATGCGACCAGGCCCGTCGTACAACACAACAACAGCTTCCTTCTATGATCCAATTTCCCCAGGATGCTCGCGACGCTCCAGCCAAATGTCAAATGCAGCCAACTGTTTCACCCTTAATTCAACATCAGGATTGACTCCAATAAACAAGGAATCGAATCCAAGCAGCAGCCCAAGTGCTTCTATTAATAAGCAGTGTCTTGGTGTTCAGTGTTTTGGGTTTTACAATAGCAGTCTTCCTCCCCCTCCATCGTCTCATTTAATCGCCACCAATTTGAAGCACTTGCAGGGGACAGATTCTGGGAGTTGTTATCAGAACTCAACTGGGGGTCGATTTTCAATTCCCAGTTTTATGCAATCTTTACATTTGAGCAACAACAGACAGGTCGGGGAGTTTGAATTAGATAAAGAAATGCCTAACAACAATATATTACGACGTCAATCTGAACCTGTCCCAAACATATGTTTTGATCCAGTAACAAATGTTCCTTGTTTAAGTAGTCCACTGCAAAATTTCCAAATTCCTGTTGGAAAGGCTAGAAACATAAATATAACATCTTCGAGTAATGAGAGTAATTTAAAAAAGGGACAATGCAATGTTCCAATGAAGGTTGAAATGACTATGACCAGTGTGCAACATCCAAATGAAAGAATAAATCTTGATGAAGTGGAAGAGCTTATACTTCCCGATGAAATGCTTCAGTACTTAAACTTGGTAAAAGACGATCAAAATTTTACGGAGAAAGAACAAGAACATCTCAGTTCCATTGCACATGAAACCATAACATCAAACGACAACAGAGTACTTTCACAGTCAAATTTAAACCAATCAAAAAAACAATTTTCACCACCGCACTCTAACTGTGAAGTCGCTAAACATCTACAACCAAATCCATCGAAGTTGTCAACGCAAGGAGAGTTTACCATGACAACGATCGGAAGTTTATTTAGCCAGACAGAATCGAATATCGCAACTATCCCACACCAGCATGAGCAAACGAAATGCATTAGCTTCCCCCAAGAGACTGAGAAAATTATCAACATGGATAATGGTATTAATCAACAGTCATCCCTATTAGCCTATCAACGACAAATAACAAATTCAAATCAGAATGAAATCATTGACTCATCAATGACCAGTTTGCCAGAGCTAAATTTAAATCCAGAATTTCCACGAATTAACTCAGACAATGTTTCCAAAGTACATAGAGGCCATGATAATGAGATCCAATGCGGCATCATAAGCCAGTCTCAAATGTCTCCTTCTATAAACATTAATAACGATGACCAAATTTCCACCTTAAAAATACAAGCCCTATCATTTTCAAAATTTCCTTGTCAGCAAAACACTCAAAAAACAGTTTGTGAAACTCATGCGAATAATGTTAGTTCAATGCAGTCTGATACATACCAGCGTACACTAGAATATGTGCAAAATTGTCAGAACTGGTTGGATTCAAACAATACATCTGTCGATCAAATTCAAGGATTGTCTGGAGTGCAATCAAATAATACATTGTGGCCTGATGTTAGCAGTTCTACACATCCATATCCTGGTGCAAATATGGTTATCAATGATATGACAACATCCCTGACTTCTTTGTTGGAAGAAAATAGATACCTTCAAATGATGCAGTAGAAAATTCAGCAATCTATAAATTAAAGTCAGTCACAATATTAGTTTTATTTAAAAAAAATCATACATGACGTCGCTATTTTCACATATAGATGAAATCAACTACCGTTAATATGTTCGCATCTGCAGTTATAACAATCTGTGAAACCTCTATTAAATGTTTATATAAAAATAGAGGTCGTGACACATAATTTTCTTTGTGCGGAATTCGGGCGAAAGAAACTTGTGAAAACACGAGGATATATCTGTGTCCAATTGAGATATGCGCAATATATATGTCTTCCAAACTATCAATAATAAAAAAAATCCTAGAGCTTCTAAGCAATAAAATATATATAAACTATATATGTCTTTTACTTAAAATAACTTCTTAACTGAATGTATGTATGGAATTTAACTTCGGCCAGCCGAAGTTTATATACCCTTGCAGGTATGCCTACTTAAAATGTTTTTACTTAAATGGTTTTTCCATTGTCAAAAATCAAAACGCCTACTTTCTACAAAGTTACAATAGTTTTTCTATTCATTTTTTGATTATTCCTATGGGAGCCATAAGATATAGTGGTCTGATCCGGCTCGTTCCGACATATGTACTACCTGCAATAAAAAGAAGAGTTTTGGGAAAGTTTCACCGCGATAGCTTTAAAACTGAGGGACTAGTTCGCATAGAAACGGACAGACGGACATGGCTAGATGGACTCGGCTATTGATGCTGATCAAGAATATATATACTTTATGTGGTCGGAAGCGTCTCCTTTACTGCGTTGCAAACATCTGACTGAAATTATAATACCTATAATAAGGGTATAACAAGAGAGAACGCTAGAGTCGGGTTGGTGTCCCGAGTAATACCCGTCACTCGGCTAAAGGAAGTGCGAGGGAGATGGATATATAACATTTTTTAATTGCGTATAACTTTTTATTGAATTATCCGATTTGAAAAATGTATTTCACATTTTGATAGGTATAAATATACACAAGACAATTGCATTTATACTTCTCGGAAATCTTTAAAGGTGTGGGCGCCAGACACATTTTAAAATTGTTAGTGGGCGTGGCGCTCGGCTGAAATAAACTTGCGCTGCGTAGGAAGCCCAAGAATATGTGTGGAAAACCTCAACCTTCTAGCTTTTGTAGTTTCCGAGATGTCAGCGTTCAGCAGCACAAGAAGCCATATTCTTTCGATTCATTCGCGATTTACTAAGGCCGGCCACGTTCTTGTGACCACTGCTCGGGATGACCTTGGCCATGGATTACCTTGTAAAACTGCTTGTAAGGAGCTCCTCTGCATCCTAGCCTATCGCATTTTATGCCTTCGCAAGTACTCTAGAGCAATAGTTCGTGCAGATGGCATTTTGATTCGCTTTTAAAGTTCTTGCCAACTTACAAATGCAAATAAACCGCCTCATACATCTGTTCAGGGCTGCATTATGTAGCCTGGCAGGTAATTTAAATTTTTAATTCTTTTTGTTGTGTACAAATGCGCTCTAAACAGGTATTCTTTTTGTAATTTTGCAAGAAAAGCATAAATTAAGTTTAAAACTTATTAAAAAATTTGCAAAATCGGGTGGTCACAGAAACCCACCGTGCAAAACCGTTGGTGTCACAGGAATTCGAGAGATTTCCTTTTCTCGGAAAATGTACCGAAAAACAAACAGAGCTGGATGCATACACTAAATATCAAATACACAGGCCGACAGTGTTTTTGGTGCAGCCCTATGGACATTAAATTGTGTTAATATAGACATATACAAGCATATCTGCATACTTAGTTTTCGAGTTTAACGGGTGGTATTTGTGCAATAGCGGTTTGAAAAAAGTAGCAACATTTCACGTTTTGACTTAAGATATCTTCGAGGGTCTGTGCTCAATTATAGTAAAATCTATACCAAACAAGAGAGAACGCTTTAGTCTGGTTGGTGTCCCGACTATCTAATACCCGTTACTCAGCTAGTGCGAACGCTGCACTATGGGTAATTTGACCACTTTTGTGGCATTAATTAATAACTCGAAAACGAAGCAACATTTTTGGGCTCTGTTTTTAGAATTAAGTTAATAGTAATGAAATCTATTCATTTTATCTAAAATAGGCGTGGTCGGCCTTTTTCTTAATTTTATTTTTATTTTTTAATATTAAATTAAAAAAATTTTTTTTTGTAACTGTAATATAATATTATTTTATAAAAAATAAAAGTGGTCCTACCTATTTTTTTACACGAAATCTAATTTTTTTTTTTTGTCCACACATTTTTTCAAAGATATACAGAATAAGAGGGTTCAGGAAAGTAGGAAAACCTGTAATAGAAAATTCTAGAATTTGGTTTTCAGTAATTTGTTTATTTTGCCCACCTATTGTTCATTGTTTTCGTTTTCCATCTGAATATCCCATGAACCTTCAAAAAGATTATCATCCACTCCATAATCCTCCAACTCTCCTGTACTTTTAAGTTCGCAAGATAATAAATTTAAAACCTCACTTGGAAGGTTCAACTTTTTTTTAATCGCCTGTTAAGGTTGACGCGGCACCTTCTTCTCCAAAGTAGCCCACTGGAAGGACAGTGTTCTCAATAATATCGGCCGAGTGTACAAGGATTTTGTGTACAGTTGCTGTCATTGGTAACCAAGGATATTCGTCTATTATAATTTCTGCAGTTTGGTAGCAGAAACTTTGAAATTTAGTAACCTCTATTTGTAATTGACTTGACAGACAAATCAAAATAGTCCCCAGGTTTTTAATGAGCCTGAGATCTATTCCAGCTATTTTCGAAAATGTTTCAGGTTCACTAAAGGCTCGGCGGGCGGTGTTTCCATCATTGGTGCTGCCAAAGCCCCCAACTTTTGGTTGATCTATTCTCAGTGACAACTGCTTCCAAAACTCATCTTAAATAACCGATTTTCTTAAAGCAACTTCTCTTTTGTTATCATCTGTGTAACCGCCATGCAACACAAACTCGAAAAGACGAATCCAGCAGTGCAATGGACTTAAGCCGTAATTGAGGTTCTTCATTACTGGGAGGAACTTTTCTCATTTAAAATTAATATTCAGGGGTGTCACAGAAACCGTCGACGGTTTTGGGGACGGTTGGTTTAGAAACTAACCGACCAAAACCGTTGGTGTCACAGGAATTCGAGAGATTTCCTTTTTTCGGAAAATTTACCGAAAAACGACCAGGGCTGGACGCATACACTAAATATCGAATATTCAATAATTATCAAATTTTATTTGACTTATTTGGACTATTTTCTAATAGGTTTTAAACTTAATTTATGTTTTTCTTGCAAAATTACAAAAAGAATATATGTTTAAAGCGCATATTGTACATAAGAAAAGAATTAAAAATTTGAATTACCCGCCAGGCTACATATTGCAGCCCTAAACAACGGTTTGCCGCGGCTGCGTTGCTTTATTTTCATTTCTAAGTTGGCAAGATTTTTAAAAGCGAACTAAAATGCCGTCTGCTCTAGAGTACTTGCGAAGGCATACTCTGCGAGAGGCTAGGACGCCGAGGAGATCCTTACAAACGGTTTTACATGGACTACCATGGAGATTTAACTCATTGGCCAGGTCCTTTCACAAGAATGCGGCCGTCCTGAGTAAATCCTTTGGCAATGTCGATATTATCGCGAATGAATCGGAAGAGTATAGTGTCGTGCGCTGGTAACCTATGTTTACCCCTGAAAATTAGCAAAGCTTATTAGTTTAAATTAATAATAAACAAAAATGTTGTACTTTTTTACACGTATGTCTTCTTCTTCTTCACAGCCAACGTTTTACCTGGCAAAAATAGGACATTTTTTCACGACAGTGATGCCAACTTTTTGCAAAGGCGGCCTGTTTTTATTAATTTCTCAATAACTACAACTTCTTTTACCATAAAATTTTTACCAGAAATAAGTTTCCTTTTTAACTACAATACTCAGTACCTTTGAATAAATAATTCGTTAACAAAACATTTCGATAACTAACTCCGAAATTTGGACAACTTTGGTATTTTAAAGTGCTAGCTAATTGGTAACACTGCCAGGTAGACGGTTTGCCGACGGATTTTTTTTAGCTAATTTTTTTGAGAGGTTTTATAAAAAACATGTTTTTAAATATAAACCGAAGTAGGTATAAAAATTGTAGTATGCAGGTAGTTCATAAAATTCATTAGAGTTGTCTTAAATAAAGTTATATTTTTGGGAAACATTTGTAAGTTGGGTAATTTTATCAAAACGTCCGGCAAAATACGGGGGATTTAGAAACCGTCAAAAATGACGTCTGTGACACCGAGATTTGCTATTCGGGAGAAATTCGGTTGGAATGGTTTTCTGTGACACCCCCGATAAAGCCTAGTACTCACTTCAATCAAAAAGGCGACGAAATGGAAATTTCTATACAAAAACAAGAAAGGATGCTACCTTCGGTCAGCCGAAGCTTATATACCCTTGTAGATAAAGTAATGCCAGGGATTCCAGATTTAGCGCTTCTCTTTAAATTTTGTTTTTAAGTAGTCAAGAATCAAAACGCCTACTTCCCACAAAGTTACAATGAATTTTCTTATATTTGTTTGAATAATCCTATGGGAGCCTTAAGATATAGTGGTCCGATCCGGCTCGCTCCGACATATGTACTACCTGTAGTAGAAAGAAGACTTTCGGGAAAGTTTCATCGCGATAGCTTTAAAACTGAGAGACTAGTTCGCATAGAAACGGACAGACGGACAGACAGACAGACGGACAGACGGACAGACGGTCAGACGGACATGGCTAGATAGACTCGGCTATTGGTGCTGATCAAGAATATATATACTTTATGTGGTCGGAAACGTCTCCTTCACTTCACTACATATATAAATATACACAGCAAAACTGCATTTATACTTATCGGAAATCTTTAAAGATGTGGGCGCAGGACCCATTTTAAAATCGTTAGTGGGCGATTGTGGGCGTTAGAGGGGGCGTGGCGCTCGTCTAAAATAAACTTGCGCTGCGTAGGAAGCCAAAGAATATGTGTGGGAAATCTCAACCTTCTAGCTTTTGTAGTTTCTGAGATTTTAGCGTTCATACAGACGGACAGACGGACATGGATCGACTCGGCTAGTGCCCCTGATCAAGAATATATATACTTTATGGGGTCGGAAAAGCTTCCTTCTAGCTGTTACATACTTTTGCACGAATCTAATATACCCTTTTACTCTACGAGTAACGGGTATAAAAACACCGAAGCTAGAATTTTTTAACGTTTACTTTCTATGTGACCTATAAGATATAGTCGTCCGATCCGGTCGGTTCCGACTTATATACTACCTGCAATAGAAAGAAGACTTTTGGGAAAGTTTCAAGCCGATAGCTTTAAAACTG